CAGTCCCCGTCTCGCGGCGGCGGCGGCGGCGGCGCGGGAGATCCATCGGCCTCGTCGCGCACGAACTCCGCGCCGGCCCACGACCCCGCGTGCCGGATCGAGGGGGGGGACCCCCGTTCGGGGGCCGTTGCTGCTCCCCCCAACTCGTCGGCCCCTTGGAGACGCTCGCGGCTGCCGCCCAGGTGGTGGCGGTGGCGGTGACGGTGACGGTGGCGCGTGGCGGTGGTGCGGGCGCAGGCGGCCAGCACGCCCAGGCACAGCTCTTGGGCGCTGCTCGCGCGGCGAAGCCTCGGGGCAGCGCCGCAGACGCCGCCGGGCTTGACGGCCAGCGCGGAGTGCATCGCGGCAGCCTGGTCGCTCGCTCGCAAGCTCGGCTACTCATCCACCCGCTCGCCCGCTTAGCTAGCCGCTTAGACACCCACCCGCCCGCAGGCTCAGCTACCCACTCACCCACCCGCTCGCTCACCTACCCACCCAACCACCCGCTCGCTCACCTCCCCACCCACCCGCACGCTCGCTCACCTATCCACCCACCCGCCCGCTCGCTCGTTCACCTACCCACCCACCCGCCCACACGCTCGGCTACCCACCCACCCGCCCGCCCGCTCACCTAACCACCTACCCACCTACCCGCCCGCACGCTCACATACCCGCCCGGCTACCCGCCCGGCTACCCGCCCGCCCATCCACTCGCTCGCTTCACCAGCTGCTTGCTCGATCGCCAGCTCAACTACATCACCCACCCACTCACCTAACCACCCAGCCCGCCACCATCCTGCCCGTCCGCCTACTCACCCACCCAACCACTAACTCAATCACCCACCCAACCACCCACCCAACCACTAACTCAACCACCCACCCAACCACCTACTCAACCACGAACCCAACCACCCACCCAACCACTAACTCAACCACCCACCCACTCACCTATCCACTCACCCAACAAGCTACTCAATCACAAACTCCCTCGCCCACACTGACACCAGATAGTTCACGCAGCCGCGAGACCACTCAACTGCCCACCTCCTCAACTGCTCAGCCACTCACAAAACCTGTCCATCCCTCAACTGCCCAGCCACTCAAATGTTCACCCAGCCGCCTTGCCACGCACCCACCCCACCTACCCGCCGATCCGCCTATCGCCCCCCGCTCAGCCAGTCAACCGCGCACCCACTCACCCTCACCCGCCTACCCACACCACCACCCACACCACCCTCCCTGCCCACCCACCCACCCACCCCACCACGCAGTGGCCACCAACCCCTGTTCGCTCTCGCGCCACCCACATCCACGGCTGCCGTCCCCCCGCCACGGCGTTTCCCAGCGCTCCGGTACCATCAGCAGCCCGCGGCGGACGACTTCAACGAGCGGTGGCGATGTCAGCGGCGATGTCGATGTCAGTGGCGATGTCGGTGGCGATGTCAGCGGCGATGTCAGCGGCGATGTCAGTGGCGATGTCAGTGGCGATGTCAGCGGCGAGCGGCGAGCGGAGCAACGAGACCGCGGGGAACTGAGGCCGGCCGCGCCCGTCGCTCGCGACCTCTCGCGGGCGAGGCCTCCGGCACATCGGCTCGGATTCACCGGTGGTGGTGGCGCCTCGGTTGGGTGGGTGGGGGGGGAGGGTTACGCAACTGGCCGCTGCTTCGAGCTCCGGCGTCGATTGCTCGCGGCGTTGTCCCACCGCTCGACTCCCACGGGGTGGGGGAGGAGGCGGGGGAGGGAGGGGGAGAGGCGCTCTCTCTCCCCCTCTCTCACTCTCACTCTCTCTCTCTCTCTCTCGTTCCTCGGCGTCTCGTTGCGACCTTCACCGCGACCCCGTTGCCCGTTGGGAGAGGGGCACTCGTGATCGGCGCCAGCCGGAGCGGCGAGGGAGACCAGGAGAGAGAGAGGGGGGGGACCACGTGGAGAGTGGGAGACCGGGAGAGTTGGAGACCGGGAGAGTTGGAGACCGGGAGAGTTGGAGACCGGGAGAGTTGGAGACCGGGAGAGTGGGAGACTGGGAGAGTGGGAGACCGGGAGAGTTGGAGACCGGGAGAGTGGGAGACTGGGAGAGTGGGAGACTGGGAGAGTGGGAGACCGGGAGAGTTGGAGATCGGGAGAGTTGGAGACCGGGAGAGTGGGAGACCGGGAGAGTTGGAGACCGGGAGAGTTGGAGACCGGGAGAGTTGGAGACCGGGAGAGTGGGAGACCGGGAGAGTGGGAGACCGGGAGAGTGGGAGACCGGGAGAGTTGGAGACCGGGAGAGTGGGAGACCGGGAGAGTTGGAGACCGGGAGAGTTGGAGACCGGGAGAGTTGGAGACCGGGAGAGTGGGAGACCGGGAGAGTGGGAGACCGGGAGAGTGGGAGACCGGGAGAGTGGGAGACCGGGAGAGTGGGAGACCGGGAGAGTTGGAGACCGGGAGAGTTGGAGACCGGGAGAGTTGGAGACCGGGAGAGTTGGAGACCGGGAAAGTTGGAGACCGGGAGAGCGGGAGACCGGGAGAGTTGGAGACCGGGAGAGTTGGAGACCGGGAGAGTGGGAGACCGGGAGAGTGGGAGACCGGGAGAGTTGGAGACCGGGAGAATTGGAGACCGGGAGAGTTGGAGACCGGGAGAGTTGGAGACCGGGAGAGTTGGAGACCGGGAGAGTTGGAGACCGGGAGAGTTGGAGACCGGGAGAGTTGGAGACCGGGAGAGTTGGAGACCGGGAGAGTGGGAGACCGGGAGAGTGGGAGACCGGGAGAGTTGGAGACCGGGAGAGTTGGAGACCGGGAGAGATGGAGACCGGGAGAGTTGGAGACCGGGAGAGTTGGAGACCGGGAGAGTTGGAGACCGGGAGAGTTGGAGACCGGGAGAGTTGGAGACCGGGAGAGTTGGAGACCGGGAGAGTTGGAGACCGGGAGAGTTGGAGACCGGGAGAGTTGGAGACCGGGAGAGTTGGAGACCGGGAGAGTTGGAGACCGGGAGAGTTGGAGACCGGGAGAGTTGGAGACCGGGAGAGTTGGAGACCGGGAGAGTGGGAGACCGGGAGAGTTGGAGACCGGGAGAGTTGGAGACCGGGAGAGTTGGAGACCGGGAGAGTTGGAGACCGGGAAAGTTGGAGACCGGGAGAGCGGGAGACCGGGAGAGTGGGAGACTGGGAGAGTTGGAAACCGGGAGAGTTGGAGACCGGGAGAGTTGGAGACTGGGAGAGTGGGAGACCGGGAGAGTGGGAGACCGGGAGAGTTGGAGACCGGGAGAGTTGGAGACCGGGAGAGTGGGAGACCGGGAGAGTGGGAGACTGGGAGAGTTGGAGACCGGGAGAGTTGGAGACCGGGAGAGTTGGAGACCGGGAGAGTGGGAGACCGGGAGGAGAGTGGGAGACCGGGAGGAGAGGGGGGGGACCACGTGGAGACCGGGAGAGTGGGAGACCGGGCGTTGTTGGAGGCCCCGGCAGGTGCCGTGGTGATGCTCCACTTCACAAGACAGGAGGTCGCTGGCTCGGAGCGGGGGCGGCTCGCTCGAGGAGCCGATGAGCGAGATGAGATTCGTCACGCGAGCGGCATGGTGCTGCACGCGGAGAGTGGGAGCCAGTGGCTCCTACGTGAGCCTCCTCCTGGCTTCACAAAGCTTCTCCGAGCTCATTGAGCCTCGATCTGGCTCAGCGAGCCTCGATCTGGCTTAGTGAGCCTCGATCTGGCACAGCGAGCCTCGATCTGGCTTAGTGAGCCTCGATCTGGCTCAGCGAGCCTCGATCTGGCTCAGCGAGCCTCAAATCTGGCTCAGCGAGCCTCAAATCTGGCTCAGCGAGCCTCAAATCTGGCTCAGCGAGCCTCAAATCTGGCTCAGCGAGCCTCAAATCTGGCTCAGCGAGCCTCAAATCTGGCTCAGCGAGCCTCAAATCTGGCTCAGCGAGCCTCAAATCTGGCTCATTGAGCCTCAAATCTGGCTCAGCGATCCTCACCGACAAATCCGTTGTTGTTATTCCCAAGTGGAGTCCAGGGTGCCAACGAGTCACCTTGGGACAGTGGGGGGGGGGGGGGGGGGGGGTGCGGGGCAGCTGCCACTGGGGGCGCCCTTCGTATTGCACGTGTTGAGCTGAGAGAGGGGGGGGGGGAGGTAAAACGTCGTTAATTTGTGAATGAGCGCAACGGAAAAGTCCCTGCGCGATTCCCCCCACCCCGTCACGAGGATAGGGTCGCCCCTCCCCCCCATCCCAAACCCCCCCCACCCCCCCACACCCCCCCCCCCAACATCCACCCACCTCGACGACCAGGCAGCGCTGCCCCCCCTCCCCTCCCAGCCCCCCACCCCGCACGGCCAGCCCCTCCCCTCCCGTGAGGTGGAGGGTTAATAAATAAATTAATAAATCTCCGGCAAAGCCGCGATCGATAGGAACGGCTCGAGTTCGCGAGGCATCGGGTGGCAGGGGGCTCACAGCCCCCCACTGCTCCACACACTCACAAAGACAAAGAGCCCCCCCCCACCCGTACACAGCCTCACTCCCCCCACTCTCACTCACTCACTCCCCCCACTCTCACTCACTCCCCCCACTCTCACTCACTCCCCCCACACACTCACTCACTCCCCCCACTCTCACTCACTCCCTCCCCCCACCCTCACTCACTCACTCCTCCACCCTCACTCACTCACTCCCCCCACTTTCACTCACTCCCCCCACTCTCACTCACTCACTCCCCCCACCCTCACTCACTCACTCCTCCACCCTCACTCACTCACTCCCCCCACCACACTCTCACTCACCCCCCCCACTCTCACTCACTCACTCCCCCCACTCTCACTCACTCACTCCCCCACCCTCACTTACTCCCCCCACTCTCACTCACCCCCCACTCTCACTCACTCACAGTCCCCCCACTCTCACTCACTCACTGCCCCCCACTCTCACTCACTCACTCCCCCCACTCTCACTCACTCCCCCCACTCTCACTCACTCACTCCCCCACCCTCACTCACTCACTTCCCCCACCCTCACTCACTCACTTCCCCCACCCTCACTCACTCACTCCCCCACTCTCACTCACTCCCCCCACCCTCACTCACTCCCCCCACTCTCACTCACTCACTCACTCCCCCCACTCTCACTCTCACTCCACTCACTCCCCCCCCACGCTCACTCCCCCACCCTCACTCACTCACTCCCCCCACCCTCACTCACTCCCCCCACTCTCACTCACTCACTCACTCCCCCCACTCTCACTCACTCACTCCCCCCACCCTCACTCACTCCCCCATCCTCACTCACTCACTCCCCCCATCCTCACTCACTCCCCCCACTCTCACTCACTCACTCACTCCCCCCACTCTCACTCACTCCCCCCACCCTCACTCCCCCCACCCTCACTCACTCACTCCCCCCACCCTCACTCACTCACTCCCCCCACCCTCACTCACTCCCCCCACCCTCACTCACTCCCCCCAC